AGTTGTGTGTAACAGAGAGCAGAGAACAGGCTATTGGTAACTGGTTTAGCCTCACGTCACCAATGAGCCCAGGGAAGGAGGTGCAGGCCAGAAGGCAGTTTGAGACACGCTGCAAGTGAGGCTTTTTCACCAGTGCAATCAGAAATCTCATCCCCCAAAATAAAAAAAACAGATTAAATCAAAGAAAAACGAGAGAAAAAAAAAAAATCAAAGCAGAGAATTTAAAGAATTGTTTAAATTCAATGAAACCAACCGTGTCCTATATGTGATGTTGTCATGGATGGATATTGGCAAGGATTATTTACAAATTGGTTTAGTTTTGAGCAGCAGGTGCACAACATACAGACGGAGACATGGTTTTCGCATTGTATGTTGATTGGATGACGTGATTCAGCAGGTAGGGAAGGGAAATAAAGAACAAAAACAGGAAACAAAAGAGAAAATGAGTAATCAGGACAAGCAAAAAAGGAAACTCTGAAAATTTCACTGGAAAAAAAAAGAAACCCTGTTGGACTATTGGAGGTGTTATTTTGTGGGCATTCTCTAAAGAAAAAAGATGCTTCAAAGCCAAGGAGATTCAGAGATCCTAAAGGTAACACAGAAAGTGCAGTAGGGATTTGCATTTTGGTTTGTAATGCAAATTGGGAGACAATTCACAAACACTTCTCAGGATGTTTTTTGTATTTCCAGGCATAGAAATAGATGTCAGTTTGCTGAACACCCCCTTGGCCTCCTGAGGCCTGGATGTGTCTATGGACACCTCCTCCTTATTGCTACCTGTTTCACCTCAATTACTGAGAGGGTAAAAAACTGACATACATGTTTTTGCCTAAGGAAATAAAAAAAGATAGATACTCCACTACAATCACAAAGGAAATTACATATGACATGACTAGTAAATTAAAACAACGCAATTAATCAACACATTTCTTTTCCTTTTGTCTTTACTTTTTCAGTGGGTTAAAAGGACCAATGCAGCAAGGCTGGTGGAAGCCAAGTCTCTCAACATGAGACCACCCAGGTGAGCAGGTTGATTTACCTTGGAGAACACTTAGGGCTGGAAAATATAGTCGTGGAGAAAAACAGTGCTCTGGCAGCTATTTGTGAACCTGATCTCAATGTCACACCTAGAAATCATCTCCTCTCACAGGGACCTGGAGAGCACCAGGGGTGGATGTTACAGGGACAGACTGACAGTCAGGTTCATGTTGTAGCTGTCACATGGACTTCTCAGCTGAGGAACCCTCCATGGGAAGGGTGACAAGAGGGCTGGATGCACAGGGAAGGAGTAACTGGGACTGCCACCCAACTCTCCTCATGGCTGCCCATCAGCCAAGGAGAGGACAAGGTGAGGAAGGCAAATGGAGAAGACAGCATCCTCTTTAGGGGACACAGCTGTGGGCTGTGATGAATCAAGACCTGTTCTCCTCTCTGGTTATTCTCTGCCCCCTGAGAGAGCTTCTGCACCCCTAGTCATGCACTGAGGAAGGTGAAGTAAGATTCAGCACTTTGTGCAGAGCAGATGCTCATCCCCAGCCTTAGTTACTACTGCTCTGCCCTACCTGGAAATATAAAGGGCAAAGAGAGGTTGGGATTGAAGGCTTGAGGCCACACACACCTGGGCTGTGCTCTGCCACTGAGGCACCCACTGGTCCCTGCTGTTTGTAATCAGCATTTTGCATCACTACATCAAGTTTTTCAGCCTTTTCCTACATTTTTAGTTGGCTCTAAATACCACAAGTATTTAAATTACTTAGGTGCAAGTTCAGTTTAATAAAATATTACAAAGATGGTTCAAAGTGGAACTCTGTCAGAATAGACCTGCATTGTGCCACTTTGCAGGCAGCAAAACAGTCCTGGAATTACAAGGCAGATTTGGGACCCCTTGGGTTTCCCCCCTTGATGTGCTGTGGGTTAGAATAATCCATGCTGCAACCTCTCATGGAGCCAACAAAAAGGAACAGGAGCAGAGTGTTGGATCCTTCAGCTTATGTTCCATCCTCAGCACTGGAAGGGGAGAATCATAGAATCCCAGACTGGTTTGGGTTGGAAGGACCTTAAAGATCATCCAGTTCCAACCCCCTGCCATGGGTAAGACAACTTCCACTAGCCCAGGTTGCTCCAAGCACCATCCAACCTGGCACTGAGGCCAGGAAGGCTTGTAGTGGCAGTGGAGCCCCTGGTACAAGACACATCTACCACATGCCAGTGGCTGAAGCAGGATGAACTGCTCCATGAGAGGTACCCTGACAACTGCCATTATTTGCTGCCATTATCAGTCTTGTAATAAATGTGATCCTTGGGGCATCACTGCAAACACCCACTGATGTAACTAAGCAGTGATGCAAAGAGCCTCCTCAGCTCGATGCCTTTGACCTCTCAGCCTACTGTCCCTGTCTGAAGCTGAGATGGATGTGTGTAGCTTAAGGAAGTGTGTGCCAGTGGCTACAAGAACTATCCCATGGGGATGGGAGTGCTGCTGCAGCTGGGGCTGGAGAGAGATCAGAGAGGAGCTGCATGAAAGAAGTGTTGAGAAACAAATCTACCAAGAAGGTGGGGGGAGATGATCCCTGGATACTCTGTCTGCAGGGAAAAGCATGTGGAAAGGAGACATGATGGTGACACAGAAATCAGAGAATTGTTTAGGTTAGAAAAGATCTCTAAGATCATCAAATTCAGTGCTGCCAAGCCCAGCACTAAACCATGTCCCCAGGTGCCACATCCACACATCTCTTAAATCCCTCCAGGGATGGTAATTCCACCACTGCCCTGGGCAGCCTGTGCCAATGCCTGACCACCCTTTCCACGAAGAAATTGTTCCTAATATCAAACCTAAACTTCCCCTGGTTACTTGAGGTCATTTCCTCTTGTCCTATGGCTTGGTACTTGGGAGAAGAGGCCAATCCCCATCTCATTGCTGAGAAAAGAGGATATATAGAGAGAGCAGAGCTCAAATAGGTCTGTAGCCACAGATAGAGGACCAAGAGGTCAGGGCTGGAGTGGTACTGGGGGGCATAAGGGTTTTATATTAAAGAGATGCTTGTGATCAGTTTCTTATTGGATGCTGCCAGGGGAAGCTGCTGACCTACATAAGAAAGTCCTCTCTAAGGACTTAATGGATCTGGTTGCTCATAAACCAAAAGCCTTTCTATTACCACCTGGGAGGAGGATGGAAAGATACATAGCTGCTTGGTCAACCCTACTGGAGTTTCCTGATTGTTTTTAGAGGCAATTCCCATTGCAAAGGCAGTCCCAAATCACTGCTGTCTTTGATGCTGGAAATCAGAGAGATCACTGTGGAGGGGAAGGATGATGCTGTCACATTCAGTGACATCTCACAGTCCAACCTGATCAGTCCATAGCCAATTCCACAGGTGCCAGAGACCCTCACCAAGGCTGGGCCTCCCTGTGGGAGCTGGAGGGGGAGGCAATGGCCTTCGACTGAGCTGGGACCACTACCTGCCAAGCAGGGAATGGGCAACACTGGTGGCTGCTCTCTGCCTGTGAAATAGCTCCACAAAGGAGGAATTTAAGCAGCAGCATGTGGGCTTGGTGTGGCAAAGGAGAGACCTTCCTGAAGGAGAAGACATCCATCTCAGAGAGACCACAGATTCCCTTACCACGTGTGAACTGGCTGTGCTACTTCCTCCCAGGAAAAGTGGCCAAAGGAGAGGTGAAAGAGAAGAGTCACTCTGTCTGTAGCTGACTTGCAAATGTTTTCACAGATTTTCAACCATGGCAAAAGTTTAGGTGCCTTTGACAAGAAAGCATGTCCCATGGCAGAGGGAGTGGAGACAACCAGTGCCTTCCCACAGTGCAATAAATCTGAGCACTCAGAGAGGTGAAACTCAGACCTTGGGTATGATCTGAGGAACTCTTTAGCCTGGCTGCACTGAAAACAAAAGGCAATCCAAAGCCTATGTGATAGGATTCACCAGCTGTTAAATGAACATCATTTGTGTGGGGAGTAAAACTTTGGGGATTTGTACTTTTTCCTATACCAAGGAGGTTAGTAAAAATTTATTCAACAAGAATTTAAAGCAAGATTTGGGGTTACAACACAATTATCTCTCCAGAAGCAGTAATATGGTCTTCACCACCACCTGTAAAGAAGCCTTGGGGTCATAGTTCTTAACACACACAATACAGATCTATCAGCAAATCCCAGAGACTGAGGGGAAAAAAATCATGTTAAAGTTCAAATTCATCACATACAGATACAATATCATCAGCTACGACATGCACTGGGAGAGGAGAGGAGCAATTTTTAAATTGGATAATATCACACTATCAAGGCTTGAGACAGACATTTTGCTGCCCTGATAGAAAAATCCTTTAGAATTGAATGGCAAGACTGTACACTTTGTGTGATCTACAGGACCCATTAGCTAGGGAACAGCAGCCTCATCATTTCTTAGTATGTTTGGCAAGCCCTTGTAGGGCAAAAAAATCCTATGGGAAAGTTGTTTGTTTCTTAATTGCCCCACAGAGATTCTGTGCATGGAACAGAAACATTCCCCCACCCCAGACTGCGTGGGCTCCACATTCCCATCACCTCTCCCCTCTTCACTGCTCTTTTCACCCTCACTCTGCCCCGTGACTACAACTGGGCAGAGCCCCAGGGGACAGGCATATGTGCCCTGCAAAGCACCTCACACTACAGGAGCCTTCTGGTCTTTTCCCTCTATTAAATTCAACAGGATTTTTCCATGAATAGGCAAAAATGGCCTGGGGATAGAGTTGTTTGCTGAGCAAGAGAGCTGCTTCCTGGCAGAGTCACTAGTACTGTCGTTCTCATCAGAGCTTTTCACATGAGTCTTTGGGGCAGACAGCTGTGCTCAGCTCTGTGGAAAGAGCAGAGCTTATGGAAACAGGCTGCCAGGTCACCCAAGGACATCATGAGGCCCAGAGGCAGCTCTAGGGAATAAGGCTGGTAGGGAGAAGGTGCAATGTCTTGACAGGTTACAGCTTTGTTTCTAAATGAAGCAAATTGAGCAAACTGTACTTACCGCAATCTCTGTTACTAAAATATCAGTAATACTTCCCAACACTGTGACAAAATCAAAGACATTCCAGGCATCTCGGAAATAATTCTGCCAAATGAAAGCACAAGGGGGATAAAGGGATCCTGGGGTTATTTGGTTTGCTTGTTTTGAAATGCACATCATGAAATATGAGCATTTCATGAAGAGAGGAAACAGGTGAAAGGAAAGGAGGAAGGCACATACCAGCACACCAAAGGCAATGATCTTCAGCACACATTCCATGGAAAACATGGATGTAAACACAATATTCAGGCATTTCAACATTTCTTCATATGCTTCTGGAGCATCATAGAACTAAAGCAGGATGGAAGAAAGGCTGTTACTGGAAGATCAGTGGCAGAATAAAACCTTTCCCAGCTGACTTGCCTGACTGCAAAGGTCCTGCTCGGTTGAGTGTCACATTTTGTGCTCACTTTAATAAGATTTGGGGTTACAACACAGTTATTCATGGCTCTCCAGAAACACACTCTTGCCTACATGCTATCCTAATGGGGCAGCTGGAGACAACCCAAGACTGGAGACTGTTTCTGGTGGACACCTGTAAACACCACACAGACCAGGAGGGAGGAAGAACATTTTCAAAACCAGAGGATAACCAGAGAATCAGAGAATATTAAGGGGTTGGAATGGACCTTAGAGATCATCTAGTCCCAATCTCCTGCCCTAGGTAGGGACATCTCCCACCAAAACAGGTTGCTCAAGGCTTTAGCCAACCTGGCTTGGAACACTGGAATCCCATTCACAGGATCTCCTCACAGCTAAACCACCTCCCTTGGAACACCAAAGGAATCCCACCAGGGAAATGGGCAGTGGTGGCTGCTCCTGCAGCTCCCAGGTTGCTCCTGCTCCCCCCTAGATCTCATGGTGCAAGCACAAAGCCTCTCCAGCCACCACCACAAACACCAGCCCCAAATTGCAAAGATTCAGTAAGAACCCACTAACCTTCATCATTAGCACTATAGTATTGAGTGCAATCATGACCATGATAAAGTACTCAAAGGGAGGGGACACCACAAACTTCCACATCTTGTACTGGAAGGATTGCTTGTTCTGAGGCATGTAGCGGGTCAGGGGCTTGGCACTTATGGCGAAGTCAATGCAGGCCCTCTACAAAACAGAAAGGGCATGAAAAGGTGACAGAAAAGGGCTGACAGATCCTATCCGTTGGGATATGGTTGGGAGTGCAACTTGAGCAGTGAGTCCTGACTGTTCCTGTCAAATTTCAGAGTTCCATAAAATGTTAAGGTGTTGGAATGGAGCCTGGTTGGGAGCTTGAGCAGTGAGTCCTGACTGTTCCTGTCAAATTTCAGAGTTCCATAAAATGTTAAGGTGTTGGAATGGAGCCTAGAGGTCACCCAGCCCCAACCCCCTGCCCTGGGCAGGGACACCTCCCACCAGAGCAGGTTGCTCAAGGCTTTAGCCAACCTGGCT